CCTCCTCCTCCTCCTCCTTCCTCCTCCTCTTCTTCTTTCTTCTTCTTCTTCCTTCTTCCTTCTTCCTTCTTCTTCCTTCCCTCCTCCACCTCCTCCCCTCCTCCTCCTCCTCCTTTCTTCTTCTTCTTCCTCTTCTTTCTTTCTTCCTCTTCTCTCTCTCTCTCCCTCTCTCTCTCTCTCTTTCTTTCCCTGGCCTTTCTTAAGGGCTCAATAAATGTAACCCATGGGACTTAGGGGTATGCAAGGAGTATGCAGCGGAAGGTGCGGGGTATGAAGGAGTTAGGAAGGATGATGAGGATGGAAGGGCAGTCAGGGCACTGATTCTCTGGCATCTCCAGGCAGCCAGGAGAGGAGATCTCTTATATTTTTGCCTGTCCAATTAGGCCTGGGGTCCTGTGGACTCCCAGTAGGTGCCTGCACCACCATGCCCCGGCCACACCCTCTTGCAGCCCCGCCCCAACCCCTTGCCACCCGTCTATGCCGCCTCACCCCCTTGCTGCCACACCCCTTGCCACCCGTCTATGCTACCACGCCCCCTTGCCGCCACGCCCCCTTGCCGCCATGCCCCCTTGCCGCCACGCCCCCTTGCCGCCATGCCCCCTTGCCGCCACGCCCCTTGCCACCCGCCTATGCTGCCACGCCCCTGTGCCGCCCCGCCCTGCCCATTGAGGTCCAGTCTCACCCAGAGAAATGCTGCTGATGGCGTAGCCCACCACTGACTGCGAGACGGCAAAGCGAAAGAACAAATACAGGTGAAAGCTGTTCACGAAGGCTGTCCCGAAGCCGAAGATGATCAGCCCCAGCAGCGACAGCAGGATGGCAGGGTAACGGCCCATCCTACAAGCGTCAAAGGGTGGCTGCACCAGGACCTCGCTGGCTGGCCCCAGCCGGATACACCTGGGCCAGGCCCTGAGCCACCCATGGGCCCCTGGAGAACCCCTGCCTTCACCTCCCTCAGCCTGACACTCTTCAAACCTGAATGTCCACGAGGAGGAGGTGGGGTGGCTCGGGGACCAGCAGAAACTCCCGGGGACTCACTTGTCAGTTATGAGCCCGAAAACGACTGAGCCTATCAGGAGCCCTGCCATGAACACGATCTCTGGGGTGTCCTTCTTCCACTCCATGCCACATACCAAGTCAAACTGTGGGTCAGACACAGGAATCGGCCACGGGCACCCACCTTTGGGTCCAGAGACTTAGCCTCACCCCAGGATGGGGCCTATAGGCCAAGGGGACCTGGGAAGGGGCAGGTAACTGGGTGCAGCGTGCCTCCGCTCTTGCCTTTGCTCTATTACCTTTGCGACCCAACCCGCACAGGCTCCACCCTGAGAGGTGGGCCTGGAGACAGTGACCAGAGGCACAGGCCAAGAGGTGTGGGGGATGGAGTGGGAAACCAAGCAAAGGCAGGAATCCGTGCAGACCCTTTCCCAAAGGCAGGTGCTAGGCCCCACCTGCAGACTCACACTAGGCTCGTCTGTGTCATGAAGGGCCTAGATTGCAGCTCAGGTTGGGAATCCCTGTAAGAGATGCCTGATCAAAGCTGCTTCTTTCCCTGAGCCCTACCTTTTGTGAGTTCTAAGGGCAAAGGCACAGCTACCGGGGAAATTTCATGGACAGATGGCAAACCCTGCCATGCCACACCCATCTCTACCCCAAATGTACTCTACCGATAGGCAGGGCCAGGGCTGGGCAGCAGGAACCCTCATTTTCTGCCCAAGCCCTGCCTCTGCAGGGCAACCTCAGGCCAATGGCTTCCCATCTCTGAGCCTCAGTTTCCCCACCTGTTCGGTGAGGGTAGGAGGCACAACTCTGAGCCTGTGGGGTAGTTACAGACAACCCAGGACAAGGCGTACCTCATTAATCAGCGATCGCTTCTTAGCGTCAGGATAGATCCATCCATTTCGGCATATGTCTGTGTCATTGAGGCCAAAGTGGATGATAGAATCCAGATTCCAGGGCACAGGAAGGTACATGAGGCAGGTCAGGAGACTGCCATTGGATGCCCGGGGTATGGTCAGATTCAGCTGCTCAGCTTCGGACAGGTGGGGGCCCACTGCCAGGATCCAGCTGGTGTTGCAATAGGGCTTCTGAGCTGTGAACACGAAGTGGTCAGCAAACATGAAGAAGGCCGACAGGATGCTGGGGATAAAGGTGAGGGCCACCAGCCTCCGTTGGAAGGTGCCGAACTCCCCCACCGCAACCAGGAGGTTGGTAAACTTGTCATCCTGCTTGGTGGTGACGACCTTCAATCTGCGTAACAGCATCTTCAGAGACCGGGAATACGGATACCCTGCTGCCTCACGCCTGTTCAAGTTCCTGGGAGCATCCTGGGATCTGAGCTCTTCCTTGAAGTTCTCTTCTCCTGCCATCTGTCCAGAGAAAGTGTGCAGCTCTGTCTCTGCTGATACCACTTCCTAAACATCAAGACTAGCATGGGAGCCACTGACCAGGAACTGGCCTCTGGCTTGAAGCAATATGGAGTCCAACCTTGATCTCAGTAGTTCCTTCCCTTGCTTTCTTAGTTAATATGATTTATTCCCCACTGGCCCAACCATCCAGGTTTTTTAGCGTAATTAAGATCTTTAATGTTTTAGAAAATGCTGTGCTGCTGTTGCCACGAAGGACTAAGCTCTGAGGAACTCTCCTGGAACTTCTCCGCAAATGAAACTTTTTGTTTACACACACACTGAGGCGCCAATGGGCTTACAAGGGGTAGGAGAGGTCCCTAGGGATCTTTTCTTCAAAAATAAAGATCTGCATCAGCATCGGCTGGCCCAAGGTGGACAGCTGGAAGCCTGGGCCACGAGGTGGGGCAGCAAGGCTGGTGCAGTGGTGCAGTGGTAGATCACGGAGCCAAACTGGAAAGGCAGATGCGGGGAAGGAAGAAGGGGAGCAATACTGACTGTAAGTGTATTACCTTGCAACAGCAGCAAGGAGGGGAGATTAAGCTCTGTTTTGAGCCAAACCCTTAGCAGGCCTAACAGTTCCTGGTGTGAGGCACCCCTTGGCTCAGAGCAGAGGCAGAAGCGAGTCTTCTGTGAAGGAAAATTTCTTCAAGTTGATTCTGCACAACTCTCACAGATGAACATCAAGCAAAGACATTACACCTTGAGAAGGCAAGCCTCTCTAAGAGTCAACAGAACTCAAAACCACAGACTTTTAGACTACAGATGTTGAAAGTGTCAGATACAAAATTTAGAATAGCTATTGTATGAACTTTTTAAGGAAATGAAAGTTGTAATTACAAAAATGAACTTACAACAACAATCAGGAAAAAGCAGACACCTTTGGAAGGAAGATTAGGAACTTTTACAAATGAAAGCTTGTTGAATGGCAAGTTGTTGTCATTGTTGAGATGAAAATGCTAAGAGAAAGTTAAATTTGACACAAAGTATCAGTGAACTGGAATAAACTGCTGAAATGTGAGAGAGAGGTAAAGAAACTTGGTAGGCAGAAGATTTAATATGTATCTAATTGGAAGCCCACAAGGAGAATTGGGGAAGCATTAAAGAAATAAAAGAATACCTTTTCTAAAATTTTTAAAACAAATTCTTAGATCCAGGAAATGTAATTTATCTCCAACCCATGGCTAGACACATTGCCGTGAAGCTGCAGGACACCAATGACAAAGAAAAGATCTTGAAAATCAGCTGGAGAGAAGACAGGCCACTGACTAATGAACAGCTTCAGCAGTCTCCTATTAGAAGCAGGCACAGGCGAGTAGATCGCTTGAGCCCAGGTGTTCAAGACCAGCCTAGGCAACACAGTGAAACCCTGTCTTTACAAGAAAATATAAAAAAAAAAAAAAAAAAAAAAGTAAAGAGAAATGCATATAAGTGATTGCATAGCAGAACAGAACATTAACTGCGAACACTAAAGAAATAAAAGAAAAAAAAAAAATAAAAAAAAAAAAAAAAAAAAAAAAAAAAAAAAAAAAAACTTAGCCAGGCTTGGGGGCATGTGCCTGTAATCTTAGCTGCTCAGGAGGCTAAGGTGGAAGGATCACCTGAGCCCAGGGAGGTCAAGGCTGCAGTGAGCCATGATCACGCCACCGCACTCCAGCCTGGGCAACAGAGCAAGATCCTGTCTCAAAAAAAAAGAGAAAAAGCACTTGGGAGGCCAAGGTGGGCAGATCACCTGCATTTGAGAATTCAAGACCAGCCTGACCAACAGGGAGAAACCCCGTCTCTACTAAAAATACAAAATTAGCTGGATGTGGTGGTACATGTCTGTAATCTCAGCTACTCGGGAGGCTGAGGCAAGAGAATCACTTGAATTCAGGAGGTGGAGGTTGCGGTGAGCTGAGATAGTGTCATTGCACTCCAGCCTGGGCAATAAGAGTGAAACTCTGTCTCAAAAAAAAAAAAAAGAAGAAGAAGAAGACAATGAAAGTTAAGCAACAAGGAAACCAGGGAAGTGAAGAATATTTTCAAAATGTGGATGGAAAATTATAGACCACCTAGAATTGTATACCCAGCAAAATTGTCTGTCAAGAACTAGGGTAAAATAAAGATAATTATAGAGATAACTAGAAATTGAGAGAACACACAAGCAATAGACCTGATTTGATTAAACTTTTAAAAGAAAAGAAGGATGCTGGCTTCAGCAGCGCGTGTACTAAAATTGGAACAATATAAAGAAGATTAGCATGACCTCTGCACAAGGACGACACACACATTTGTGAATGGTTCCATATTTAAATAAATAAATAAAAGATAAGCAGGAAAATGTCTCTGGAGGACAGCTGGAGATGCAAAAATGAGCAGTCAAAATGGGAAACATGTATGCAAATTCAAATATTGATTGTATGAAATAAATACAATCATTGAGATTGTATTGAATCTACAGTGGGGAAGAATTTGTATCTTAAGAACAATATTGAGTATTCTAACCCATGAGCATGGAATGAAGATAGATAGAGCTGACAGAGATAAGAGATAGAGATAGCTCCATATGTTTTTAAGTTAAAAAAAAAAAAAAAGCTTGTGAATACATCACAAGTTAAAGAAGAAATCATGGTGGAAGATTACAAATATTTATAAATGAATGATAGTAAGAACCATAACATATCAAAACGCATGGGTGGTATAAAAAGTGGTACTTGTGTGAAGTTTAAAGCTTTAAGTGCTTTATAATAGAAAATCGGAAAGACTGAAAATTAACCAGCTAAACACCCATCATAGGAAGTGGGAAAAAACACAAAAGAATAAATCTAAAGAAAGTAAAGGAAGGAGGTAGTAAAGTTAAGACAAAAATAAAGGAACTAGAAACAGAAGTATAAGAAACGGAATCAAAGTTCAAGGTCAGTTCCTTGAATAGAGATAGACGAGCCTTTAGGGAAATTATGTAAAAAAATTTTAAAAAGACAGAAGGTACAAATAAGTCTTTTATATATGCAAAAAGGAATATACAGATATAGCAAGACTGAAAATATTAACTGGATACTAACATCAACTTTATACCAATGAATTTGAAAACTTAGGTGAATTAAATTCCTAAAACAAAATTACTCAATAAATGGAAAGTCTTAAAAGTTCTATAGTGACTAAATAAAGTAGAAGTAAAAAATCTTCCTACAGATTAAATGCCTGACTACCAAACCTTCTTTTTTTTAATTTAATTTAATTTAATTTAATTTTTTCTTTTGGCAAGATTAGAGAACAAGACTACCAAACTTTCATGGGACAGATCATTCCCATGTATACAATTTATTTTCAGGGAATAGGAAAAGATATATACTGCCAAAGAATTTTACTTTGATAGCACAACCAGAAAATTACAGTACAAAAAAGGAAATCACAGATACATTTTATTAATAAAAATGGATGCAAAAACTCTAAATACAATGTTAGTAAATCAAATTTAATAGCATATTAAGAGAAAAATATATCACAGTAAAGACAGTTTTTAGTTTATCTTTGAGACAGCGTCTCACTAGGCTAGAGTGCAGTGGCACAACCTCGGCTCACAGCAGCCTTGACCTCCCCAGGCTCAAGCAATCTTCCTACCTCAGCCCCCTGAATAGCTGAGACTACAGGCGCACCCACCACACCTGGCTAATTTTTATATTTTTTGTAGAGACAAGGTCTTGTTATGTTGTCCAGGCTGGTCTCAAACTCCTGAGCTCAAGTAATCTGCCTGCCTTGGCAGTCTGCCACCATGCATGGCCAATTAAAAACAGTTTTAACCAGAAATGCAAAGATGGTTTTACTATTATACAATCTATAAATACTTATATAAGGAATAGATCAATACTTAATAGATCAATGGAGAAAACCATATGATCATGCTTATAGATGCAGAAAATGCATTTGATTAAATTTGGCAATTTGTGATTTTTAAAGAAAAATCCTAAGAAAAATGAGAAATGCTTTGATTTAATAACAAAAACTATCTCCCTCCCAAAAAAATCCTAAAAAGGAAACATTAAAAGTGTTCCTTTCAAAATCAGAGGAAAGGCACAGATGCCCATGCTTATTCAACGTTATACTGGGTGGCCCTAGCCAGCGCAATGAGATAAGAAAGAGAATGAAAGGCATAAAGACTGAAAAGAAAATAAAACCCAAAAGAACCTACAGATAACTAGAAACAATAGGAGAGCTCAGCAAGGTAGCTGCGAATAATGTGAATATATAAAAGTCAATTGCATTTCTGTAAACCCAGAACAATTAGAAAACATAATTTGCAAAAGTATGCCATTCAATAAAAAAATCTTCAAACTCACTCAAAATTTTCTAAAATGCTAATGACAGCAATACTGTGATAACATTTCTCACCTATCACATTGGCACATTTTGTTGATGAGGCTGTGGGGAAACAAGCATTTTCATACACTACTGATGGGAAGGCCAACTGGTACAACCTTTCTGAAGGACAATTTGGCAATACCTGATAAGAAAGAGCGAGGAGTGGCTGCTATACCGGAAAGATGGCGGAGCAAGAGCAAAGAAAAATCCCTTTGGTTCCAGAAAATCTCCTGAAAAAGAGGAAGGCTTATCAAGCCCTCAAAGGCACTCAGGCAAAGCAGGCACTTTTGGCAAAGAAGGAGCAGAGGAAAGGAAAAGGGCCCAGGTTTAAGCGATTGGAATCATTCCTACATGATTCCTGGCGGCAGACACGTGACAAGGTGCGTGTCAGATGACTGGAAGTGAAGGCTCACACCTTGGAATTGCCAGATAAACATTCTTTGGCCTCTGTCGTACGCATTGAAAGGATTGATGGTGTGAGTTTACTGGTGCAGAGAACCATTGCAAGACTTCACCTAAAGGAAATTTTTAGTGGTGTCTTTGTAAAAGTCACTCCCTAGAACCTAAAAATGCTGCGTATAGTGGAACCTTATGTGACCTGGGGATTTCCAAATCTGAAGTCTGTCCGGGAACTCATTTTGAAACGTGGACAAGCCAGGGTCAAGAATAAGACCATCCCTCTGACAGACAACACTGTGATTGAGGAGCACCTGGGGAAGTTTGGTGTCATTTGCTTGGAAGACCCCATTCATGAAATTGCCTTCCCAGGTAAGCATTTCCAGGAGATCTCATGGTTCTTGCACCCTTTCCACCTCTCAGTGGCCCGTCATGCTACCAAAAATAGAGTGGGCTTCCTCAGGGAGATGGGCACACCTGGCTATCGGGGTGAACGCATCAATCAGCTTATCCGCCAGCTGAACTAGAACCAGGTGCCAAACTGCAATAAATTTTTATCAATGAAGTGGAAGCATGTGTTTTTGGGTTTGGAGAATTTGTATCAAGTATCTTCAGAGAAGATTATTTCCTGCTTTATCTTTAAAAACTGGAAAGGAAGGGTCAAAGAAAAGACAGTAGCTGGCCAGGTGCGGTGGCTCATGCCTGTAATCCCAGTACTTGGGGAGGCTGAGGTGGGTGGATCACCTAAGGTCAGGAGCTCGAGACCAGCCTGACCAACATGGCAAAACCCTGTCTCTACTGAAAATACAAAAATTAGCGGGCATGGTGGCCTATGCCTGTAATCCCAGCTACTTGGGAGGCTGATGCAGGAGAATTGCTTGAACCCAGGAGGCAGAGGTTGCTGTGAGCCAAGATCGCGCCATTGCACTCTAGCCTAGGCAACGAGCGACACTCTGTCTCAAAAGAAAAAAAAAAAAGAAAAAAACAGTAGCTTATATTCATTGCAAGCACCTCTCATCACAATCCAGTTCCAAGGAAAAATTCCAACATTTTCTACATTGGCTGCTGCCTCGTCTGAAATCAGCACATTCCATGGAGGAAGGAGTTCTGCTTTGCTGCATCTCTTACCCTAGGGTTTAATGTTGGTAACTGAGTAATCTAGCATTTGTTCAAGGCTCCCTAAGACTCCTGCAGCAGTGGACAAGCCCAGGGACATAATTGAATCTGGAGATTCCTGGGGCCTTGTGAGAAAGACTTGAAATACACATAGGAGGAAAGGTACAAACATAAATGTTTACTTGTCTCTGCAAAAAAAAAAAAAAAAGAAAGAACGAGTTAACCCAGACACCCTGATATGTTTACGTCTTGCATATGCTCAGAAAGAACTGCTTGAATGATTCGTCCTTAGCTGACTTCTGGAATTGAACTTTTGGAGTATTCTCTGTGCTACCTTTAAGAGTGTTTGGGGCCAGGTGCAGTGACTCATGCCTGTACTTCCAGCACTGGGGAGGCTGAGGCTGGAGAATTGGTTGAGGTCTGGAGTTCAAGACCAGCCTAGGCAATATAGCGAGACATCCCCACCCCTATCTCTAAATAAACAATAAAAAATTACCCAGGCATGATGGAATACGCCTATAGTCCTAGCCCCCTTGGGAGGCTGAGCCACTCCTGATAGCTTGGGCTCAGGAGTTTGAGGCTGCAGTGAGCAAGACCTTATCTCTAAAAATAAGTTTAAAAAGAGTGTTTGGCATGGTTGGAAGTGTGAGCCATGCTGTACCAGCTTTCCAGATAGCTTGTGCCTTATACTGAACAGCCTTCCTGCTTGGGTTCTGAAAGTGGGCAATGAAGTTTCAGTAATTACAGTTAGTCACGAAGGCACTGTGTGGCTTCATGTTCAACCCCAGTAAAAATGCTGGGCTCGGGCTCAGAGAGAGAGTCCCTGGCAGAAAAGACTTCACATAGGCTGCTGCAGGTCACTGCTGGGGGAGTAAGGGCATCCTGTGTACTTTCATTGGGAGAAGATGGGAAGATAACACCTGTATCCCCCAGACTCCACCCAATGTGCCTTCTCCCCTTATTGACCTTGCATTGTACCCTTTTGTTGCAATAAATTGTAGTAGTGTATATAATCACTTTTCTTTTTTGAGACAGAATCTCACTCTGTCATCCAGGCTGGAATGCAATGGTGTGATCGTGGCTCACTGCAACCTCTGCCTCCCAGGTTCAACTGATGCTCCTGCCTCAGCCTCCCAAGTAGGCGTGACAACAGGCACATGCCACCAAACCTGACTAATTTTATATTTTGAGTAGAGGCAGGGTTTTACCATATGTCCAGGCTGGTCTCGAACTCCTTACCTCAGGTGATCTGCCCACCTTGACCTCCCAAAATTCTGGGACTATAGGCATGAGCCACCTCACCCAGCCCTATAATAACTTTTGAGGCCCATGAATGCTTCTGGTGAATCACAGGGCCTAGGGGCAGTCCTACAGACCACCGATACCCCTAAAAAACTATGTATACACTTACTTTTTGATTTAGCATCCCACTTCTGGGAATT